TATGTCATTTCCTTCCTTTTTTATGTCATTTTCTTCATTTTTTATGTCATTTCCTTCCTTTTTTATGTCTTTTCCTTTTTAATGCCTTTTTCTTCCCTTTTAAAGCATTTTTCTTCCTTTTTTTTGCGTTTTGCTTCCCTTTTTTTGCCTTTCTCTTACTTTTCTTTGCCTTTTCCTTACTTTTATTTGCTTTTTCTTTCCTTTTTTTAATGCCTTTCCCTTCCTTTTTTATGCTTTTTTTTTCCTTTTTAATGCCTTTTCCTTCTTTTTTATGCTTTCCTTTCGTTTTTTTATGCCATTTCCTTCCTTTTTTATGCTTTTTTCTTGCTTTTTAATGCCTTTTAGAATTTTTAAGATCTGACTGATCCTGTTCACTCCTGATTTCAGGAGGAAAAATCTGCTGGTGGAATTCAATTCGGGGTACAAAATTGAATTTTAGGATCTCACTGATCCCGTTCTCTCTTGATTTTGTGAGGAAATGGCCAAAAATCTTGCAGAATTCAATTTGGGGTACAAAATTTAATTTTAGGATCTGCCTGACCCCATTCTCACCTGATTTCAGGAGGAAGTGGCCAAAAACCTCCTGGCAGAATTCAATTTGGGCTGCAAAATTTAATATAAGATCTCACTGATCACTTTTATTCCTGATTTCAGGAGGAAGTGGCCAAAAATTCAATTTAGGGTGCAAAATTTAATTTTTTGATCTCACTGATCACTTTTATTCCTGATTTCAGGAGAAAATGGCCAAAGATCTGTTGGCAGAATTCAGTTTGGGCTGTGAAATTGAATTTTAGGATGTGACTGATTTCAGGAGGAAGTGCCCAAAAATGCAATTTGGGCTGCAAAATTGAATTTTTCAATGTCCCTGACCCCATTTTCACCTGATTTCAGGAGGAGGTGGCCAAGAATCTCCTGGCAGAATTCAATTTGGGCTGCGATGCCCACCAGACCGAGCACGTTTACCGCGTCTACGTCGCCACTTTCCTGGGGTTCGGGGGCAACGCTGCCCGCCAGAGGTACCAGGAGAGCCTGGCAGCCAGCACCCTGCTCAGGAACAGGTATGGGATCATCGGGAATTCGGGGGCATCATCGGGAAATTTGGGGGATTCCAGCCCCGGGATAACGGGATCGGGGTGCTCTATACGGTGGGAGAGTGTTGGGGCTGTGGGGGGAGATTTTTGGGGAAAATCAGGGAAAGGACAGGGGTTTTTGCCCTGGAGGAGCAGGACAAGGAGTAGTGGCATCAGGAAAGAAAAGGTGAAAAAGGAGAAATTGAGGTTTGGTTTATGGGAAGAATTGATCCCTGGGTACCCACACCAGTCTGAGCTCCAATTCCCCATTCCTGGAGCAATCCCAGTTTCTCCACCCCATAAATCCGAATTTCCCCGCAGAGCCCTGGGCACACAGATGGGTCTGAGCCCCGATTCCCCATCCCTGGATCTGTCCCTGGATCAATCCCATTTTCTCCACCCCATAAATCCGAATCTCCTCGCAGAGTTCTCGGCACCCAGACCGGTCTCAGCCCTGACTCCCCGTCGCTGGAGCAATCCCAGTTTCTCTATTCCATAAATGTGAATTCCTCCCATCTCTGGAGCAATCCTAATGTTCTCCCAGTTTCTCCACCCCATAAATCTGATTTTTCCTGCAGAGCCCTGGGCACCCAGACCGGCCTGAGCCCCGATTCCCCATCCCTGGATCTGTCCCTGGAGCAATCCCAGTTTCTCTGTTCCATAAATCTGAATTCCTCCTGTTCCTGGATCAATCCCATTTTCTCCACCCCATAAATCCCATTTTACCCGCAGAATTCTTGGTACCCAGACGGGTCTGAGCCCCGATTCATTCCTGGGATAATCCCAATGTTCTCCCAGTTTCTCCACCCCATAAATCTGATTTCCCCCGCAGAGTTCTCGGCACCCACACCAGTCTGAGCCCCGACTCCCAGTCCCTGGATCTGTACCTGGAGCAATCCCAGTTTCTCCACCCCATAAATCCGAATCTCCTCGCAGAGTTCTCGGCACCCAGACCGGCCTCAGCCCCGACTCCCCATCCCTGGATCAATCCCAGTTTCTCTATTCCATAAATCCTCATTCCTCCCATCCCTGGGGTAATCCTGATATTCTCCAATGTTCTCCATTCCATAAATCTGAATTTCCCCACAGAGCCGTGGGCACCCAGACCAGTCTGAGCCCCGATTCCCCATCCCTGGATCTGTCCCTGGGGTAATCCCGATGCTCTCCATGGTTCTCCACCCCATAAATCCCATTTTCCCCACAGAATTCTCGGCACCCAGACCGGCCTGAGCCCCGATTCCCCATTCCTGGGGTTATCCCATTTTCTCTATTCCATAAATCCCC